TGATTTTGTTATTTGGCATTTTATTTTGTGCGGTTGGTTTCTTGACTCTGTGAACCACCCAGAGGGCTGTTCCGGGCTTATGGACAGTATAGAAATTAAATACATACATATGTGCATATGTTTAAGCAGCTCTAAGCTAGAGCATCCCTCCTGTGATATTCTGCTGCAGTTATTACCAGGGTCTTTCAAGTTCTGCCCACCTGGGTATTCCATCTGTGAACAAATAATGGAAGGTACTGCCCTCATAGCACTGCTGCTTATTTTTTTGGCATGTGCATATATGCATGTGTGTAGGTTTGTAGTGAGAGTTAGCTTCATAGGTGCTTTATATTACATTGTTTTTCCCAAAGCTGTTCCCAGAGACATATGTGAGGACCTGCTCGATTCTAATGAATTAATTTAGTGCTTGGACAGTTTTTAAAACAGTTTCCCCCAGAATTAAGCAAACCTTGTTAAGCCTCTTGCTAGTTGTGTAACTGAACCCAATGCTCATATCCGAATTGGCCTTTAAATCATTTTGACCCAATCCTAAAACAGGAAATCTGTAATGAAGTTATAATTGCTCCATTGTTTGGAAAAGAAAGTTAAAGGGTTATTCTCCAGAAACAGAAATATGTGACTTGCATTAAACACTGAAGGGGTGAAATTAATTAAACATGGAAGGAGTAGAAACCCAGTAATGGGATTGGAGTGATTACCTCAGCATGCTTAGTAACATGCTATCAAGTATGTTATTAAGAGGGCTTGTTTTAAAGCAGTTTATAAACCTAATTTATTTGGCTCCAGCACTTTCTCTCTTGGATACAACTCAAGTACTGATCGCTGTTCAGTTTTACCCATAATGTGCCAAGAATATCACAGTCTGCATTTTGTCTTGAATTTTCCCCAGTGCACCTTGACAAATCATTTGACAGCTTTACAAAACCTTAATTTAGCTTCTAAAAAATAGAAGTTTGACCTAATATTTTTCTTTATAAGACTTAAAAAAACAGCACTCCCCCTCCTTGACAAAGAGGGGATATTAATTTGCTAATTTTCAAATGGATGTTAATACATCTTACTATGAAATGGACTGAACTGTCCTTTAGCTCTGCAGTTTTCTTTACCCAATTACCTTTTAATAACTAGGAGTCATAGGAGGAAGCACCAAAATTAAGGACAAAGTCACTTCATCCACAAGATGCATGTATAGATTGATCAACCTTATGTTATTCTTCCCATGTTCTATTAAACTGAAAGGAAATTGAAACGGAAATTGAAAACTGGCACATATAACATTCATAGTTTAAAAATGCAAAAGAAGAACACATGCTAGAGACAGCATGTAAAGCAGTAATTTAAGCAGTATAAAATGGCGAGTTCCAGAAAAGCAGGGATAAAACGTACTGAGTAGAGACCACTGTTTCCCAAAATGTCTGATCAGTGAAGCACATTTTCCTCTCAATTAAAATAGACAACATTTCACACTTATATCTGAGGAAGTATTATTACAACAAATAAAATGAGCACTATTAACCCTCAGATATACCATCCCCACCCTTCACGTTCCTGCATGGCACCAAAAGGAGAGTAGTAACTCTGTTGGCAGAATAAACAGTCTCTGTTGATGTTGGATAATTCCTCTGCAACAGGATCAGATGAAATCTCAGAGGAAGCTGATTAGAAAGAGACAAGCCCAGAACTACACAACATTCAGAGAGGCTGAGGGCAGCCTCACTAGTACCTAAGTAATTTGGATACACTGGAGTTTTTTCATTTACTTCCTGTGAGCATGGCTCACCGTGTGGGAATTACTGCTTTATACAATGCCTTCATTTGTATACAAATATACAAATGGAGGTAGTGACAGATTTTATTTTCCTGGGCTCCAAGATCACCGCAGATGGGGACTGCAGCCAAGAAATTAAAAGACACTTGCTCCTGGGGAGGAAAGCTATGGCAAATCTAGACAGCATACTAAAAAGCAGAGACATCACCCTGCCGACAAAAGTGCTTATAGTCAAGGCTATGGTTTTCCCAGTTGCAATGTATAGCTGTGAAAGTTGGACCATAAGGCAGGTTAAGCGCCAAAGAATTGAGGCCTCTGAATTGTGGTGCTGGAGAAGACTCCTGCAAGTCCCTTGGACCACAAGGCGATCAAACCGGTCAGTCCTAGAGGAGGTCAACCCTGACTGCTCTTTAGAAGGCCAGATACTAAAGAGGAAACTCAAATACTTTGGCCACCTAATGAGAAGGAAGGACTCATTGGAGAAGAGCCTAATGCTGGGAATGATTGATGGCAAAAGGAGAAAGGGATGGCAGAGGATGAGGCAGCTAGATGGAGTCACTGAAGCAGTTGGCGTGAGCTTGAGTGGACTCCGGGGGATGGTAGAGGACAGGAAGGCCTGGAGGAATGTTGTCCATGGGGTCGGGATGGGTTGGACACAACTTTGAGACTAGCAAGAACAAATGTTTTTAGTTCACCTTGCATTGTTTGTGAGCTATACAGGAGAGAAACTCATTCAAGGTCGCTGAGCATATTTGACGCTAAACAAAAATACCCTATAATTTGGCACCAAGAAAACCTGAAATGTATGGCCCATATAAATGTTGCAAGAGTCATATATTTGTCTGTTGTGTGGTATTTCTACTTCCCATGGAAAGAAAGAAATTATTCAAGGCACCTAGCCCACTCCTCTATGCATACACACACATGCACACACAAGATTGTGAGTACTTGCTTCAGGAAAATTTTGATCTGAAAGCAGCACGACACAGCAATCAGAAAAAATAGTGAATAAGGGATCTCACAGTGCTAGAGATACTCCTCAAACTGCCCAATATGTTTCAGCCTGAAGTGGCCACAAATATGTAAAGGTTAGAAATGGCTCAAAAGTATGCAACACACAAACTGTGCAGTTCTTAAGTAATGAAACTTGTGTATTCAAAACCAACTCACCACAAAGCTTTCTTTAGTAGGCCCTCACAGGAAATCTAGAAAGGGTTCCCCATCACTTTTGCAGAAGTATCTATTTGTATATTTTTTAAGATATAGAGAAGTCTAAAAACCATACCCTAAATCTTGTGGCATCATAAAGACAAACAGACTGCATAAAGTTTGTGAATTACAACCCACATGATTGTTAGTGAAAGCTAATTCGTAATTAGGCCATGATAAATCTGCTTGCTCTTAAGGTGCCACAAGAATATCATAGCAAGAGACCAATACCTTTCTGGAAATTAGCTACTCTTGGGTATAGAATATACCATTAGACTATGGAATATTCTTCTTGGGGAAAAAAGGCAAGGGAGATGCTACCAAAGAGCTGTGCAAAATCTTTTTTATCGTATATTACATTCTAAGTGTACTGTGTAATAAGATATTTAATTCATGTCTCTGGTGTATGCATTGTGTTCCAACATTTGAAGAGCAGGTGTACAGATTTAGTCACAAATGAGAAAAGCAGGTTGCTGCTATGGAGACTATTTGGTGCAAGGAAATATTGGAATGTAGATGTTTAAGTCTGTTACTGTATTTATTGGCAGCGAAATGACACCTGGTAGATACTAAAAGAGGGAAGGAAGATAATTCCTTACCATGGCATATGGCGAATTCAGTCATTCCCTCCCCCCCACCCCTCACCTGCACAGATGAACTCCCCTTTTTCTATTGTGAAAAAGTATCTTCTGGAGAGAAAAAAGCATTGGAGTGATTTTACTAATTTATGTAACACTGTGCAAGGATTTTCTTTTCTTTTCAACATAACAGCAACATATTAACAACATATGTGAAGTCTATCTAATGCAGAATTCTGCTTACACAGTGAGTATCCAGATGCCTATTGGGAAGCCCAACAGTACCATGCTCAGCAATGGTCCATGGAGGCATATTGCTTGTTTCTGGTTCTGGTAAAATTAAGCCAAAATGCTACCTGGCGCCTTCCCAGCCCTATCCTCCTTTGCCTTATATTGCATTTGTGAGATAGAATGCCAGCATTTTAAATTACAAGCCACTGTGTGTTCACTGGAACGGTAGTGTGTAAAAAACCAAATTACTGCTGTGGGACATGTGCTGACTGGGGCAAACGTATGTACTAGCAATCAAATTATTAAAAAATTAAAAAATAATTCAAGGAAATGTCAGAAAAGTTTTGGATCCACACTGCAAAGTGGTAAGCCATGATGCTAGCACCATAGTGCCCTGAATCACATCTGAAATGTATACGAACTGTGACACACATTAATGTCTTGTATGCATAGTAAAATGGCTGTTTATAGCAAATGCAATTCAGTATCTCTCATCACAAAAACAGCTGTAATATCCAGTACTGTGCACTCTTTTAAATTATACCTCGGTATTTTAAACTTGTTTGCTCCCAGTTGTATAGAACACATACTGTGTACACTAGCAAAATGCAAATACACTACCTGCTACAACACTGCAAGGCTATTTATTTTTTTTCGATTTATATCCTGCCTTTATCCTACAAAGGGCTTAAGGCAGCTTACATCTCCTCCCCCATCTTATCCCCACAACAACAACCCTGTGAGGTAGGTTGGGCTGTCTGTGACTGGCCCAGAGTCTCCCAGTTGGCTCCATGCACGAGCAGGGACTAGAACCCAGATCATCTGAGTCCCAGTCCCCTGCTCTTAACCACTACACCACACTGGCTCTGCCCTATATTTAACTAAAAATTTCAACCTAAAAAAAAAAAAAATTCAACCTAATGAATAACCCAATGAACAGATTCATGCTCACACACCCTATGCCTTCCCAATGGCAGTTTTTCTCCAGATACTTGTAACACCATGGAAATATATCTCTGATGCTACTGTTCATTTCTTATCCTGCCTTTCATATGTTTTCACTTGGTGCACATTATATCAAGCATGCATTTTAATTAGGTAACGCCTCTGTTTGTTGGAGAACACGAGCTACGCTTTAGGAGTTGTATGGCAGAGGCATATCAGAGAAACCATTACGGCACTCTTAAAGCTATGTTCTTCTCCATCATACTTACCTTTCCCCCTTCATCAAATCTGCCCACATGATAAAACCATTCTCGAGAACAGAACCAAGTTGGCATAATTACAGTAGGACCATGGGAAGTAAAAACCTGGAAACAATATGACAAAGCACACAATGACTATCAAAGAAGCACAGTTTTTAACAATATAGCCTATGATTTAAAAGCACTTTTTTTCAAAGACCCAGGACCACTGTTTGCATTTTAATTTTCTTCACAAATATCAATATTCATTTAAGGATTAATATGCATACAGTATGAAGCATGACACCAACGTTTTTTCCCTTTTTTGAGCACTGAGCATTGTATATGGGTAATCTGTAAAACTATCTCTTGTGCTCCATTTTCCTTAGGTCAGACCCGCAGTGGGAAGGGAGTAAGTGGAGACTGGTGGTACACAATAGGGAAAATAAGGTTTTAACTTTTAATCTGACATTTATTTCCCCCAACCCCTGCCACATCTACATGTCTTCTCCTGCTGGGCAAAAAGCAGCTTTGTGACTAGGTGGTGCAGGGAGTAGATCTATATCAAGAAAATAGACATGGCGGGGGGGGGGGGGGAGGAGACTAAACACACTCCCCCAGAAACAATCCTCTGATCTGAAAACACACACACACACACACCATCTATAGCCATTTTGAATTAAGAATGCAACAAAGCAAGAGGTAATTCGGAAACACCTATCAGGGATTTCTCAACATCACAAGAACGTAAGAGATCGCGCCCATCTCTCCCTCCCCCAGCACGCCATTTGCGCCCATCTCTCCCTCCCCCAGTGTGCCTGCAATCACGCCCATCTCTCCCCCCCAGCCCCCAGCGCGCCAGGATGATGGGTTCCGGCAGGGACGACAGGCCGATTTCAGTTGTGCTTGGGGTGGGGTGGGGGGGTGGGAGATGGCCGCGAACTTTGTTGTTGTCACTTTGCTTCACATTTTTCTGATTTAAAAAATGGTTACAGAACAGATTAACTTTATTTACACTGAACCTTATGGGGAAATTTAACTTGGCTCACGACCAATTTGGGTTGCAACCAGAGTCTTGGAATGGATTAAGTTCATGAGCCAAGGTACCACTGTGCTGACTGAAGCACTTCCTTTTATGTGTTCTTCTTGGGGTGACCTCAGGTTCTAACATTTTTTTGAGGGGGGAGGGAGGTCTCTCTATCCACTCCATACTGTGTACAATTCTCTATACCCCTATTGCGTCTTGCTTTACTTGCCTCTTTTCTAAGCTAAATATATAATATACAATCACAAATATTGTAACCTTTCCATACAGGGAACTTATTCCAGTCCTCTCATTATTTTAGTTTCCCTTTTCTGCAATTTTTGTAATGCTACAGTATCCTTTTTGAGGTGTGGTGACCAAATTGCACGTAGTATTCAAAACAGTTCAACCATTGATTTGTATAATGGCAGCATGAGCTAGAAGGTTTTATTTTCAGTCCACTTCCTAAATATGCCTCTAACATGGAATTTGCCTGTTTCACAGCAGCTGCACACACCTGCATGTGGGAATGGAGCTGAAATAAATTAATTCAAATTAATTCAGATATTTTCTGCTTGTTTTTCATTGGCACCTTTATTTCTCTATAAGACCTGTAATGGAGTTCTTGGGAAATAAGCATAGTTGGATACTCAATTATTTACATAGCACTTGCCAAAATTAACAGCCAACGGAAAGCACTGCCTTACAGACAAAGCCAAGTGGAAAGCAGTTAAATACATTAGGTCTGCACAAGATAGCATGAGGCTGAAAATTTTTACAAATTGTTATTCTGATTTTAAATAACATGGATAAAAAGCAGGAAAAAATCAGCATAACAGACTGTAAATATAAACAGACATAATGCACACACAGAGAGCCTTTCTTTACCTGGTAAGAATAAATCTGAATGAAAGTAATGTCTTGGGAAATTACATGAACATGACCCTTAATTTGTATATTTTTGAATGATGACAGCTTCAGTGAGTAATACCAACAAAGCCAGGAAGGTTTATAATCACCCTTTTCTGCTTTAAACAAATATGTCTCAAACCTAGTGTTGAAATAAACCAGAATATCCGGATTATATAAGGTAAATCTATTCTTTCCATTAATGCAAGACAAAATGTCTAACAAGACTGCAGACTAATCTTGTTGACAAGCTAAAGGGGCATACCGCACCCTGTCTTCAGCACGCCACATAAAATTTTTCGCAGGCACTATTTAAGCAGACTCCATTGTAAAATACTTTCTTTACAGTATCAGTTTTAAAAAATTTCAAATCTTGGCTCCGATATGTGTTTCTACATCTATATTAATGCCCTCACTTTTCAAGAGCGGCATAAGGCATGCAGTTATATGGGTTCTCCCATCATGCAGAGAAGCCAGGAGACACACGCTGGCAGCTTCTATGTGCCTATTCTGTAGGTCCCACAGAGTTCAATAGAACTTATTCCCAGGTAGGAGTACAGAAGTCTGCAGCTCAAATATATTTGCTTATACTAATTAACAGATTAGTAATATGTGCTTTTTTATTACTCTAATATGTTGTTTTGCACTTACTTAGCTGGCAAGCAACTAATAAATACATTAGGCAAATAATTAAGCAGACAGTGCTTTTTCCCTTCAAATTAAAGCAACATACAGCTGTGTAAAGTCAAACTAGATATATTTATGTGTTTAAAGTATTTATATTCTACCTCTCAGTCTCAGGTTTTGAGGTGGTTTACAATATTTTAAAATTCATAGGCAAAATAAAACCAAAAAGGGCAAAAGATGCTAAAAACAACAAAAGCAACAAATTGCCGTTAACCAGCAAAACACCATGGAACAATAACTGCAAAATACCATCAGCAGCACCGAAGATGCAGTAACACCAAGAAAAGGAAGAAAGTTGCTGATTTGGGCTTTCAAGTACCAGTTCTGCCATATATAAGTAAGACTTGATGGGAAGACAGGACTAACGTGCACAACAGTTACATTAAAAGGCCCAGTGTGGTGTGCGGCAAGGGAGCAACTGGCCTGCAATGCACATGGGGTCTCATTTTATGGTGCTGCTGACCCCTTCACCCCACCACACCCTCTCTACCCCTTTTTAGGTTTTAACAGCTTCAGTAGAATTAGTTCAACTTAAAAAATAACTGTCTGAACCAGAGAATGACAAAGCAGCATGTTAGGAGGCAGTAAGAGCCTAGCCTTGCTAAATCCAGTGAGTTTTAAACCTACAGGATAGATTTAAGATACATAATAACCTCACATCAAGTTAGATGGTAAGAAATTATGTGATTTAATTAACAGAATCTTAAAATGTCATTCCACTAAATCCAGCAAAAGATTCGTGGATGGTAAATTGCAACGTATTTAAAAGGAATACACTGACAATCTGATTATGTTTATTTGTTAAAATACCCATAATAGTTTTTGTTGCTGTTTGTCGCTGCTTAAATCCAATCATCACTAAATAAATAAAACTTTCAAGATTTAGCAGACTGATACTCACTGTAATCATATTTGCACATAAAGCATCAAGGAACAGCAACATATGCATATCCTGGCCATGCTCAGCCACTGAATATCCCAGAAGGTCACAGACAGAGCCACAGTAAACGTACTGGACTAGTGTCCCAATTCAGAAGATATTCTCAGTCACAGTTTTTTTCAGATATTGCCAAGATAGTTAGAATACATTCAGATTTGACCTAATGCGAGTTAAATAATTTTTATATTGAATGGATTTCCTTTAATTATATGGATGTTAGTATTTGAAGGAAAACAGTTCACCTCTAACAAAGAGGGTTCCTGCGAATATGGTGTGTTCTGGAAAAGGTTATGGATTCAGTTTCCTGAATTAATTACAGCCCCAACGTGTTATTTATTCAGAACACAGTTACAATTAGGCCCCAGCAAACCAACTGATACTCTACCACTCCAGGCCTGAGGGACTGGGCAGGCTCCAACCCCACCAAAATAATGAGAAATGCAGTCTGTAGATGCTAAATGGCATCTAGGTCTTGTAACACTCAGTATGGCAAAAACGACAGAATTGCCTGAATGAAGGGTGGCAGAGGGACCTAATCTCAGGTGCAATGCACTATGAGGCAGATGATGCCTCATCTAGCCATAGTGGGATCTACGGAAACTATTTCCTGAAAAGCCCAGAACATCTGGCAATATTCAGAATCCAAGAGCAGAGATCTGATGATTTCTTGACAGTAAGCAGGGTCAGCAGGAAGAGAGTAATTTCCACTGCATTTCAAACTGTTCTGAAGCTCAGGCTGCTTTTAGCATGGTGGAGAGGGGGACGCATTTCTACAGTGCCTCAGGCCTCAGACTAGGCTGTCACCTATTCTCTCTCTCCCCCTCCCTCCCCCTCCCCCTCTCTCATATAATATCATATGGAGGTGCAAGAGCAACTCAAACATAAGCCTTTTCTCTTGACCAAATACTTCTTTGGGTTCTATATGCCATCAGCAAATTACATGTAAATATTTTCAAGTTATGTTAAAAAGAAATGAAAACTAAGCACATCCTGATGAGAGTTTGTGTCAGATTTACATCAGTTCCTCCCAACCTGGTGCCTTCCAGATATTTTGGTTCACAACTCCCACTGGCCATGCTGGTTGGGAATAATGGGAATTGCAGTCCAACTGTCAGGTGTCTATGGCTGCAGCATCAAACCAAGTTAGAAGAATACAGAAGGGTCAGAGGCAAAAGCAATGTCAGGAACAAGTAAAGGTCAGATACTGTTAAGGCTTGGCCAGAGTTGAGGGCAGAGTCAGGAAAAAGTGTGGGTAAGATATCATCAAGGCATAAGAAGGCCAGAATGAAAGACAGAATCAGGAACAAGTGATGATCAGATTCCTAGAAAGGCCTGGCAGGTTCCAAGTGGTAAAGGCAGAACCAGGAACAAGCAAGGTCAGGTACCAGCAAGGCAGGTGCAGAAGCAAAGGCAGAATCAGGAATAGGCAAGGGTCAGATACTGACAAGTTCAATCAGAACCAGTGGTGCAGGCAAGGGTCAGATACCAAGCAAGGCATAGCAGGACCAGAGACTGGAGCAAGGATCAGGTGCCTAGAGTGGTGGTGTTGGACCGGAGCCAAAAGCA